TGCACAATTTCATCCACAAATTTCCTGGCCCTCCCCCCCCCCCCCCCCCCCCCCCCGTCCTCAGGGGGAAGTAAGGAGCAGACTATAGAAATTCTGTTAGGAAAAACAATAACTGCAAGTGACCTGCGACCAGTAGGATGGAAGGAGTAGGAAACACTAAGATTGGTCTTTGCCTCTCAGCTCATCACTTTCTTCTCTGGAGGGGGGAGGAACGGTGAGCAGTGTTGTGCTCTCCATTTATTCTCTCTCTGTTCTCTGGTGGCTATGAGAGAGGAAGAATCTTTCCTCCCTCCTTTCTGGCATCTACCTTAGGAGAAGCAACTCTGTTGCTCTGCCTGCCAAAGAGGAAAAATAAATAGCAAAAACCCCTTTCTCTCTCTGGAAGGCTAGGTGGCCTCATGCCAAGGTGTAACCCAACAGGACCAGGAATATGTCTGTGTGTATTTGTATGTCTGTTGCTAATCATTCTAGTGAGTGGGGGGAAAAAAAGTAGGTGTTGAGTTTTTAAAAAGAGTCATGTTGCTCAGAATCTGGTACTTATGCATCCATGTCTTCTAGATGGGTGCTAAGAATCAGTCTCCATTTATATGAGTCATTTTTGATTGGTGTACAGATTTGACAAGGGTAGGTATTTTCCCCAAAGTCCACATACTTTCAATCCTTTTAAAGTGCCCCTCTCCATCTCTCTTGAGCAAAGTTGTCTGTTTATTACATGGGGTTCGGGCCAACAACAGATTGTTCACTTGCTTATAAAAGGCCCACAAGGAAGCCAGTCATGCCCCTGAATCACTTCCCAAAAGAGAGCTGCTAAGAGTATTCATTGATCATTGCCATAGCTATGAATCATAGGACAGCATGTGTAGTATACACATCTCTCAGCTGTTCGCCAAGCTTACAGTACTTTCTCACCTCATCTCTTCCTCAAAGAATTCCTTGTCTTCTTCAAAGCTCTTCTCAAGCATGACCATCTACATGAGGTTTTTCCTGTTCCATAACCCCTACCTGTTAACATGCCTCCCATCCCAATTACCTTGTATTTATTTTCTATAAACTGATAACATGTAGGTGTTGTCTCCCTTCAATAGATATATTATTTGATGGCAGGAACAGTTCCATTTTTTGTCTTTTTAACACCAGAGCTTGGCACAATGCCTGACACATAGAAGGTAATAAATGCTTGTTAATTGGTCAATATAAAGAAATAATGATCAGTAGCATCATCTTTGAAAATAAAGGACTTTGAAATAGCTATTATTCCTCAAAATCATACAGACATAGAAAGTTAAATAGTGAAGTAATATGATTTTTTAAAAAAAGACATATTTTAGAATTTGCATATCCAAATGAATGATGTCTCCTTTGAAGCAGTCATCTAAGGAGGTGATAAACTTGTATTGATGATGCTATGACTCAAGATATTTTTTCCAGTTCTTCTTTTGGAATTGCCTTCATAGTCTGTGGCACATCTTTTCAGATAACCTTGATGGTAGCAAAGGCTTTGAGGATGGATTTGACTTTTGGAAATAGTACAAAGTCATTTGGAATCAAATTTGTTGAATCAGATGGTTGAAAATCTGAGTAATACTGTTTGGGGTCAACTCATAAAGTCTATTTTGATTAAATCTATTAGTGGTCAGCTAGGTAGCACAGTGGGTAGAGCACTGGACTTGGAGTTAGGGAGACATGTTCATGAGTTCAAATCTGGCTTAGACACTCACCAGCTGTGTGACCCTCATACTTTGCTTGTCCCAGTTTCCTCACCTATAAAATGAACTGGAGAGGAAAATGGCAAACCACTCTAGTATCCCTATCAAGAAAACCACAAATGGGGTCATGAAGAGTTGGGCACAACTGAAAAATGACTGAATGACAACAACAAATTAGCCACCAAGAGTAAATGAAAATATATTTGAATTTTCACCAATATGTTTAAATTTAATACAACTCACAGCAGAGAGGCAGGCTTAGCCAACATTTTATTTTACTGGTACTTGAAATTAACTTTAGCTAACAAAGTATTAATTTTCACAACAGAAGCTTAAACTAAACCCTGATTTGTAAATTTGCTGATTATTCTTCTCTGCTGTTCCCTGTTGGTATTTGGCCATTTTAAAAAAAGAACTCAAAGTACATTCACAGTTTTATCTCATCTTATCTTCACAATAATTCAAAAAGTTCCAAGATCAGTACTAGCATCTAACTGCATATATAGAAAAGCTGAAAAACAAAGATGTAAAGTGATTTTCCCAAGGTCATACAGCAAGTCAGGAGCAGAGCAGAATCAACTCACAAATACCTGTTTTTTCTATCTATAAAAGGTGAGTAGACTAGGAATAATGTCTCAGTTCTCTAGACGCTCTTGAATCAAGGTGACAAGACAACTTAGTAAAATCACTAAAGTTAATAAATTTTTTGATTATTGTTAGCTCTGGAGAACATTTTAGAAATATCTTTCATGTTGGTTAGAGCAACGTTAACTAACTCAAGGACGATTGGGACTAGGCCCAATGTGGTGGCATAAAAGGGTGCTATTTCCCTTTCCTTGTGAAGCAGCTGCGTGTACCCCCCACTCTGTACCCAACCCCACCCCATCAGGATCCTGTAACCTTCACGCTCTACTGGTGGGGCTGCTTTCTGGAGTTAGAGTGTGTCACTTGGCTTGGACACTTGGAATCAATATGGGAGGGAGGAGAGGAATTAACAGGCATAAGGCCTTCAACAATCCCTGACACCCCACCCCAAACATATGCACTCATTTGTTAAATGTGGCATAGTAATATTTGCATTGCATTATTGCTGTTTGGGAAGTAGATGCTTTTGTAGTACAAGCTTAAAGTGACCTTCCCTTAGCTAGTACCCAATGTTTAACTCTAGTTCTTGGGGAAAAGATAGGCAGCAAAGAGATACATACAATATATGGGTTACTGGAAAGGGGATACTCAGTCTCATCAGTGAAAGCCAATGTTCTCATACATTACAGATGGATCTTGTAGGCTTTAGATCATCTTCATATATATATACATATATATATACACACACACACACACACACACACACACACACATATATATATATATATATATATATATATATATATATATATATATATACAAATACATATATATTTGAGAAATGGCGAAACTGAGGCACAGAGTGGTGACTCAACATACCCAATATTATACTGCTAGCTTGGGCTGGTAATGGGACTAAGGCTTGGGACAACTGGATTGTAATCTTAGCTCTGTCACTGTCAATGATCCTAGCCCCAAACAAATGTCCTTGTGAGGCAACTGTTGAAGGCTGCCTTGTCTTTGGTTGTTTTTATTTCTGAATTGTAAGCAGGAGCAGGGCCTTGAACACAGTAGACATGCATTAAATACTTGTCTGCTGAATGAAAGTGGATGAATGACCAAGTATTGTGTAGGCAGATGGTTATTTCTTACAGGGTTTGAAAAGAGTCTGCAATAAAGAACTTCGTCTCTTAGGAGGAAAGAAATTGAAGCTGGCAAGAGAAGTATCTATTCCTAATTGCTCATTGTGATAGGGCATCTAATGGAATGGACAACTGCTGTGCGAAGGTGACCCTGAGCTTTCAAAGCCTTTGCTGGCATAGTGCAAAGTCTACCAAGTCCCACCAAGCTGGATGGGCTTCAAACATGGGCCCAGTAATAATGACAGGGACTGTCTGATTAAACATTCTAACATCCCTGGGGTATGTAGGACCTATAGAATTCATTAAGCCTCAAAGCAGGACTTAATTTAAACTATCCCATTCAGAAAGGTATCTTTTAGCTTTATCAGCCTCCAGGGAAAGAGACTCTCCAGTCTCACTGCCATTGCTACCTAATCAACTACAATCCAAAGCAGTATGTGATTCCGTTGAAAGAGTGGTGGGTAGGGAGCAGGGAAATTTCTATGTGTAAGTTAGAAAAGGAAAATGTAGAAGTGAGGGGAAAAGAAATAGGTAGGACTGAGGAAATCAGGAAAGAGGAAAAGGGAGGTATAGAAGGGAAAGAAGAGAAAAGGAGAAGGGGAGGGAAGAAGAAAGAGAAGAAGAAGAGTATAGGAGGGAGGGAGGAAGGCAAGAAGGGGATGGGGGAAAGTTGCTGAATCATACTAAAGTTCTCTCCATCCTGACCAGATCCTTGTTGCTATAATCCCTGGACTTCCAGGCCACCATATTTCCTTTTCAACATTTTAAGTTCATAGTCATGTTTTATACTCCTACCCTCTAAGCACTCTGGCCTCCCATTTCCTCATCTGCCTCAACTCCCTCCTCCCTCCTCAATCTCCCTCCAATGCAGCCCAACCAGGAATGTAGCCCAACCTTAGATCTAAACTACTGAATTTTCCCCAAGTGCCAAAGTTCTTATTTATAATCTGACATTAGTATTCCTTAGTACTTTCAATATTTCAAAATCTTTTCCATTTGTTCACTCATTTGTGTTCATAGAGCTCTCAGTGATGATAAATCCTTGCCAAATTATTGGGGTGTGATAAAGAAGATGAAAACAAATGCTATTTTCAAATACTCATGAATTCTTATTTGTAATAATGGAAGAAATACCCTCAATAACAAGTAGTCTCACTAAAGACAAAGAAAAATAATCCAGTTTCTATTTGTCCTTGGATATGTCTGTCATTCTACTTTAGCCATCAAGAGGAGTTGAGGTGGGGCAGGGGGAGAGGGGAGAGGAGGGAGCAAAAATTTAGGATTCTGTAGTGAGTCCATACAATTAGAAATTTAGAACCTTCACATCATCTAGCACAACCCTATCATTTTACAAGTGAAAAGACAAGTAGTTTGCCTGAGGCCACACAGAACCTATGGGGCATAACTTTTCTTTACAATCACTAGTGTTTATATAGCCCTTTAAGTTTTGAAAAGTGCTTTACAATAGTATCATATTTTATCCTTACAACAACCCTGGAAGGCAGGTGGGTGTTAATATTCCCATTTTACAGATGAGGAAACAGCAGCAGAGATGAACTTGCCCAGGATCACACAGCCAGTGTGTCTGAGGCTGGAGTAGAACTCAGGTCTTCCCATCTCCAGGTCCGGTGCTCTACCTACTATACCATCTATCTACCTCTCAGCTCCATTACTCTTTCTACTAAACTGTCCTCTTAGTTGGTGATAAGCAGCCAAAGAGTAAAGATGAGAAGAGTTGAACCTAAGAGTAGCTTGTTAGCCTGGACCACAAGGCTGAGTTCTGTATTGTGCAGACAGACCAGGTGATTGTTCGTTGAGGATTGAACTGGCCAAAAGGTCTAGCTGATAGAATTTGCTTTAGGACCTATTAGATGTGGTCGTGCAAGTGGGTACTGATGAGGCCAGAACATGGATACCTCGATAAATTCAGGATGATTCTGAAGACAGAAACCTGGAGACTCAGATCAGGAAAGGTATTTCCCTTTTTTTTGTGTGTGTGTGTGTATTTTCCTTTTGACAATTGGGTTAGCAATGGAGCAGATAGGTTTTTCTAGACCATGGTCATTGGGTCATAGCTTTCCTATTTACCTGTCCATCCTCTAGTGGAGACATTAAGGAGAAGTGAGTTATCCCAAAAAGCAATAAAAGGATCTGGTTAATTAGAACACTGGATAATCAGATAAATTATTGAGACTTGACTTCCTCTCATAGTGAACTGTTTGTTTTTCTACATTTTAAATTACATGTAATAATGTAAAATAGCAAAATGAGCTTTTTTGGCAAGTGATATGTTGGAGATATTGAGGAAATAATATTTTAATTGATAGTTTTATAGTAAAGAGGTATCCTCCTAGACTCTTAGAGTATAAGGCATGGATAAATCATAAGGATGGTAGGAATCCCCATAAGTCTGCCATGCTCTAACCTTTGATTAAGACTGATTGCAATTCTGGTAGTGCAGAACCAAACCTCTAAATGCGAGGTAGATGTACTTATTTTGAGTACAGATGAATCCTCCTCCTCTCCGAGTCTGGAATGGGCTTCGGTTCAGGTCTCCAATGCATGTCCAGTGTTTCTTGTAGTATCTTTGGGAAATACACCATTTGGCATGATCATAGTAGGAGCTAAAAGTAGACTGTCCTGGGATTCTAATTTCTTTGATGTTATAGACATGGTATGAAAGAGAACAGTTGGATGGAAGCTTAGGTTGCCAAGTTTCTACAAGCAAATTAGTCTGCAACTGTTGAGCCATCCAAGCCACATAGACATCTATGAGTTAGAAGAAGAAAGAAAAATGAAACTGAAATTTCCAACCTCAGATAATAGCCTAAGGAATAATTTCATAGACTGAAAATAAAGAATGGGATACATTTTTCCAACACTCCTCTCCCTGGGATGCAGTTCACATAATGTAGTTGAAAACATGTTCAACATTATAGAAAAAAAAATGGAGAGGAAGGCACAGAGCCTGCCCCAAAGAGATCTTTGGAAGTAATTGTAGTCAACATTTATTCAGCACTCTAAAGTTTGCCAAGTGCCTCACAAATGTTATCTCATTTTATCCTCATAATAACTCAGGGAAGTAGGTGCTATTATTATCCTTGCTTTACAGATGAGGGAACTAAGGCAGAGGTTGTGACTTGTCCAGTGTCACACAGCTAGTTAAGTGTCTGAGGCTGGATTTGAACTCATGTCTTCCTCACTCCAGTTGTAGTGCTCTTTCCACTTTGGCACCTAACTACCTCTGTACCACCTTGAGAATAGTCATTAGGCAATAGACCGCTTGCTGGGGAAGAGGTAAAACAAGTTTGCTTATTCCTTTCTCATCTCTGCCTTTTAAAATCACAAGCTCCCTTCAATTCTTAGCTCAGATGCTATTGCCTGTCTGTTAGTTAGTCAACTAGCATTTATTAAGCACCTACTATGTGCCAGGCACAAGGTCTTTCCTCATTCCTCAAATTGCTTGTGTTCTACTTCCTCATTGAAATTGCTTTGTATTTCTCTTGTTTCCATTTTGTCTGTGTACATGTTGGAGCTCCCCAATAGAAAGAAACACCTTGAGGGCACAGGCTGTTTCATTTTCTGTCTCGACATCTCTAGTGCTTAGTAACACGCTTTGCACATAGAAGAAACTTCATAAATGCTAACTGAATTATGCCAGCATAGTGAGTTTGGGTCATGGATTGGCATCATCATACAAACCAAATGATTCAAAAGTAGCTGAAGATGAAACTGAGATCTTTTGCCCCTGATAAAAATCTTCCAGCGAGGAGATTCAATCCAGACCCTCCAAAGTACAACTCTGATTCCCCTTGGCATCTCCTCTTCCATCTTGTTCTCCCTACCCAGTGACTCCCTTAGCTTAAGCAGCTTAGTAGAAAAATGTCTCTGACTCAACCCAAATGAGTCTAACCCACCAAAGCTAGTGTATATCCTTCTTCTGTGATCAATTTCCTTACCATCAATCAAGTAAGGTGATTTTGCAAAGTGGAGGAAGTTTTGGCCTCGGATGGACTGAAGTCTGGAGAGGCGCTGGCGAGGAATCCTGGGGAGTGGAGAGCCGACACACATTTTGGGCAGATAGGTGAGCACAGGGTGAAAGATGGCAGGGATGGAGCAGCTATAGACATTTGGAATGCAGCTTAATAGCTGGGAATCTGGGGAGGGTAATAGGAAAAAAAAACAATTAAGAATCTTGTCATGAATTTTAAAAGGCCAGCTTATTTGGCTTTCAGTACTTTTCTCTACCCTCCACTTCTCAGTAGCCATCAGAAGGAACTTTTTATCTAATCCAATTAAAGAACTGATTAGTTTTGGTGTAACTAATCAAGCCTAAATGACACAGAAGTAAGATTGATTGGAAGCCATTGTCAGTGAGGGAAATTTAAGAATGTAAGACTTCGATCTAGGAGGGAACTTGGCTTGGTTATTGTTGTTCCTTCTTGTCTGACTCTTTGTTACCCCTTTTGGGGTTTTCTTGGCAAAGATGCTAGAATGGTTCGTATTTCCTTCCCCAGCTCATTTGACAGTGAGGAAACTGAGGTAAATAGAGTTAAATGGCTTGCCCGGGGTCACATAGCTAGGAAGTGTATGAGGCAGGATCTGAACTCAGGTCTCCCTGACTCCAAGCTGGGCACTCTATCCAGCAGCCAGGAGGGAACTTAGAGATCAATTATTTTTACTTTCTCCTTTTACGGTTATGGAAACTGAGGTCCACAAAAGTTAATGGATTTGTCCAAAAGGCAAAGATGAAATTTAAATCCAGCTTTTCTCCAAATCCAGTGCTCTTTCCCATTTGTAGGCAATATATGGGACTTGGAGTCAGAAAGACCTGGGTCTACATCCTGCCTCAGACAATTCTGTCTAACGGACCACGGATAACTCACATGAGTTTCCTTATCTGTCAAACTACCAGGATACTGACCTCAAATGAGATAACAGAGGTAAAGCACTTCATAACCATTAAAATGAAATATAAATGCTAGTTATTATTATTGTAGGGGAGGTATTCTAATCCTGTTTATACATCTAACCACTGAGGATAAGTCTCTTCTCACTTTCTGTTTCTGTTATGTTAATTAACAGGAGGAGACAAGGGAATAATCAGCTTTCAATATGATCTTGCTATATTACCGCAGAAACTAAGTAGAAATCACTGTAGCGTCAGCTATAGACATTTACAAATTCAAAAAACTCCAAGGGAGTAAAATCCTGACATTCTGGGCCCATAGAATCAGAGCTGCAAGGGTTTTTAGAATTCTTCTCTTTTTCAAGACGAGAGAACAGAAGCCGGCGCAGTGGTTGGAACAGCTGGGGTCTGAGCTCAGTGCCTTTGACTCTAAATTCAACAATCTATCTGTGGCACCCTGCTGCATCTCCCATGCAGCACACTACATTGCTCTGCAGAGCTCCCTACTGGGGCAGCGTAGGGGGTGGGAGAGGGAGAGACAGACAGACAGAGACAGAGGGAGATGGAGAAGGAGAAAGACAGAGAGATAGAGACAGAGACAGAGAGAGACAGAGGGAAAGGGAGAGAGAGGAAAGAGAGGGAGAAAAGACAGAGAAAGACAGAGAGAGACAAAGAGAAATGAGACAGAGAGAAAGACAGAGACAGAGAGAAGAGAGGAGAGACAGAGACATAGAGACACAGAAAGAAGAGAGACACACAGAGACAGAGAAAGGAAACGAGGTAGCTGCAAAGAGAGAAGTATCCCTTCAGGGAAGGAGAAAGAGAGAGGAAGAGACAGGCAGAAAGAGAGAGAGGATAGAGATGGCGAGATATTGGAAATAGATGATGGAGATAGAGGTGATAGAGCTAGATGATGGATGGATAGATGGTAAATAGATACAGAATGATTTTCCTTAGATGTCTCTAAGGAGACATCTGGAACATCCATAAAGGAGACTGCTGGTATATCATGACGGTAAAAAAAATCATCTTATTTTAAAAGTGAAAATGATCCTAGAAATAATGTAGTCCAACACCCTCATTTTATGGATATGTAAAGACACAAATGAATCCATAATTTTGTCACTGTGGGGAGCTCCCTGGTATGGGAAACTTCTCACCAACACAGATCACAACCCATCAATGACTCACCAGGTGAGTCTGGAGGCTCATAGACATGCAGTAAGCATGCAGAGGGCAGGGCTGGTGTGCCAGTCAGCACACTCTGGCAGAATGGGCACTGCCACATCTCCTTTCCCTGAGAGAAGCAAAAGTCCACAGTGTACTCTACTTCCCCTGGGACAGGCTGGAAGGAATGCATTCCAAAGGTCTGGAAGCTCACCAGTCCTATGCATGTAGAAATTAAATGACTTACCCAAAGTCTCACTGTGAATATGAGAAGCAGAATTTGAATTCAGGTCAATGCCTAACTCCAACACTAGCATTCTACCCATCTTACCTAGCTGCTCCATTTTAAAGATAAGCAGACTAAACCTCTGAGAAGTTAGGTTATGTGTCCAGTGTCACAATAATAACCAACCCTTTTAATGCTTTAAGGTTTACAATGCATTTTACATACATTAGGTTATTTGATTCTCAAGAATGATCCCACTAAAGATGTACCCCAGATTTTATTCTCCCCATTTCACAGATGAAGAAACTGAGATTTAGACAGTTTAAGTGACTTCCCCATTGTTACATAGTAAATAAGCATCAGAGCCACACTTTGGACTTCTACCCTGCCTGTGCTACCACCCCCACTCCCCTTTCAGCTTCCTTTTGTGTTTTGTCTTCCCTCATTAGAATGTAAGCTCCTTGAAGGCAGGGATCAGATTTCTTTCTGCTTGTATTTGTATTCCATTGCTTGGCACACAGTGCTCAGTAAATGCTTGTGGACAGACTGACTAATTGAGGAGTGATTTGAACCCAGGTCTCTCTGACTTCCAGTTCATTCATTGCTCTTTCTATTGCTTCTTCCAAGTCTTGTTCCCTTTCTAAGATGTTAGGGGCACTACCAAAGGCATGTGTATATTAGTGACATTTTATTAGGAATCCAACTCACTTTTCTCTTTCTTCTTTTCCCCCTATTATTTCCCCTCAAGATGTTATTTTTCGGAGCAGAAGTCAATCATAGATCCTACTTTCATTTCAGGATCCCTTAAGTCAAAGGAAGGTAACACTTCCCAGTTGTATTAACTTTAAAGAAGAATTTAGGGCCTGAGGTTCCTAGGCAGGTCATATTTTCTTCTTCTTTTCTTTAGAGCCTGACTGCCATAAAATTACAAAGTTAATTTCCCCCAGAAAATAACATACTTGAACCAGTTGGATGGAAACCTATCCCAGAGAAGTATCTTATCCACATCAGAACCCACTATGCCCTGTATTACCTATTTCCACAAATTGGCTGTAGTTATAAGTTACGCAGATACCAATTTGTCCGTATTTCTTCCCAGTAGATGGATAGCTATAGTCTTCTTCAGGGAAAGAAGGAAACCTGGGAATTGTGTGAATCAGCCAGAATCCTTGTGATTTATCCCAAAGCAAGAAACCTGTCAAAGATAAGGTTAATAGAGATAAATTAGGAAACCCAAGTTCTCGTTCTCTCTCTCTCTCTCTCTCTCTCTCTCTCTCTCTCTCTCTCTCTCTCTCTCTCTCTCTCTCTCTCTCTCTCTCTCTGTTTTTCCCTTTGATGATCTGCCTCTGTCTCTATTTCTCTGCCTCTCTAGGTGTTTGTCTCTCTTTCTTTTAAAAACACACCGCGAAGCTGTAAAACTCAAACTATGCTGATTATAGACCAACCTCGTTTCAGCTTTAGGTTAATGGTTCATGGCGATAATAAGTACTCCTCCCTCCCCTTTAGTACTGTTTGTCAAAAAAGAGCACGTGATGTGTTTGTAGGTTTCAAAAAAGAATCTATGCTTGAATCCCTTTGCCTATAATTTAGCCAGTAACTCCCCCCCCCCCCCCCCCGAAGGAAGGTGGCCAGCCTCCCTAAGAAGAGTTAAAAGGATTCCCATGTTGAAGCCACAGGGAGGGTTTGTTTTGGTAGAATGCAGTTTGCTAACTTGGAATTTGACCTCATAAAAGGAAAGGAAGCTTAAGCAAGTGTCTTCCCTGCCCAATTGTTTCCAAAAGCCTGAGAAAAAGCCAAAGGGAATGTGTTTCCAAAGGAAAATTATATGGAAAAAAGGGTTCTAAGCAATTTGTCTATGTGTTTGTACCTAAAGATAATTAAACACATGTGTGGGGTAGGAGGAGTTGCCCAATCGTGCCAAGACACAAAAGGAGGCACAAAAGGTGAATCGTGAGTAGGACTAAGTGCTCCATCCAAGTGAATTATCTATACATAAAATCTCCAGAAAGAAAATCAGGAAAATCCGAGAAAGAAGACCATGGACCTCTTTCCACCATCTTATGAGACATAAGGCTTTCCACAGAAGTGTGAAAAAGCCCTTCTGTGTTAATAAGTGCATGTCAGTGTTTTGTTTTGTTTTTGTTTTTATATGATTTGAGCTATTACTCTCACAACGAAATGGGCAGACAATCATAATGCATTCATGTTCGCTTTAATAGAATAATGGAAGCTTGCCTACTTGTATACCAGTAACTCAATTTCAGGGTGGCACATTGGCAAGAGGGAAAAAGTGGATCAAGGAAGCAACCTGGCTGGTGGAGGGTTCTGAGTCTCTGTCATATGAGGATAGGTGGAAGACATTGAGGTTGTTTAGCCTGGAGAAGACCCAGGGGGGACATGATAGCTATCTTCAAATATGAGGAGCTCTGCCATGTAGAAGAGAGGTAAGACTTGCCTCGCTTGGCCTCAGAGGGTGGAATGAGCAGTTATGGGTGGAAGTTACAAAGAAGAAAATTTAGGCTCAATGTTAGAAAAGTCTTCCTAATAATTAGAGCTGTTCAAAAGTGGAATGGGCTGCTTCAGGAGAGGAGTGGGCTCTCCCTCTTTGAGAGTCTTCAAGCAGGCACCAGTTGGCTTCTTATTGGATATGTTCTAGCAAGGATTTATCTTATGTACCATTTGGACTAGATGGCTCCTAGGGTCCCTTCCTACTCTCAAATTCTGTGATTCTGCAGACTATGGGTGGATATAGACTGACTATGGAAGACCACATAGAGCAGCGGAAAGAGAGCTAGATTTAGAGATGGTTCTGCCATGTGCTACCTGTGACTTCTCCTTGCCGGACCTCAGTTTCCTCATTTGCAAAGTGAAGGGTTGGAAGCATATTGACCTCTGAGGCTCTTTCTAGCTCTAAATCTCTCTTATGGCTTGTGTGGAAATGGAAAATGTTTGGCCAGATACCCAAATGAATATTGCATAATGAAGCTGGCTACCTCCCAATAGGAGCCTCCCCCTTGATGGAATGTGCTGCCTTGCCCAGGCATCATCACCTCTTGGCACACATGTCATTGCACCTGGGGGTAGGGTCTCTCTGTTTGACCATCTGCCTCACTCCCCTTCCTGCCACCCCTCTCCAGATGGGCAGCTGTTGCTTTATCCCCCCAGAAGGCTGCTGGGTTTGAAATTGTTAGCATAGGTCTTTGAGTTCTCAGGGGGAAGGTGTTCTATGAATCTCAAAGGGTAGATAAATAAATAAGCTTGTGGGTGAGTTTCATCTCTGACAGAAGACACAGACTTGGGGCCCTTGTCGTACCTTTTGCATGCCCTTGCTTCCAGCTACCATCCACAGAGTGAGGGACATTGTCATTATATATCAGGTAGGCAGTGCTATTGTTCTGCAGAAACACATTATATATCTTTTTAAGACAGTCAATCTTCCGTGGCCCAGCAGACAGCTCTGCTACCTACGTGGTTTGGAATGCAGAGTTTTCCTGAACACTCTAGAGATTTCATCCTTGCCCTTAAGAGTCGGCTGGTGTAGCAATAAGAGCTTTTTACAGTCTTCTGGAGAAGGCCAAAGGAAGCCATCCTGACTCTGCCCTTCCAGGACCTTGCTATAGTGGAGGGTGAAGGCTTGGGGCAGTGGGGGCAGTGCCGGGCTTGGAGCCAATCAGTCACCAGGCATTTACTGAGCTCTTACTATAGGCCAGTTTGCTGTGCTATGTGCCAGGGATAGAAAGAAAAAGCAAAAATAGTGCCTGTCTTTAATCAATCAATAAGTAGTCATTCAATAAACATTCATAAAGTGCCAAATGCTTTACAAATATTATTTCATTTGATTCTCGCAATAATCCTGAGAGTTAGGCGCTATTATTAAAATCTCTATTTTACAGTTGAGGAAACTGAGGCAGACAGTGGTTATGTAACTTGCTCGTAGTCACACTGCTAGTAAGCCTCTGAGGCTAGATTTGAACTCTGATCTTTCTGATTCTAGACCCAGAAATCGGCTATCATTATTATTGTTGTCTTTGTTGCTTGTTGTTATTTTAATAGGCAGCAATGAGGATGGAGAGCATTCCAGGCATGTGGGACAGCCAACGCAAATCACAAGAGGCAGGAAATAGAGCCTCGTATATAAGGAACAGAACTAGATCATTATCAAAGTATTCAGGTCTGGTCTTAACCGCTTACTAGTTGTATGACTGTGGGTGAGTCACCTTTTTTTCAACCTCAGTTTCCTCATTTATAAAAAAGTGGTACTAATAATAGCACCAGCCTTATAGGTTTCAGTGAGGATAAAATGAGATAATACATGTGAAGCGCTATGCAAGCGTACTGTATAAATGTTAGCTCTTTGATCATTATAGTTGTCATCAAGCGGTTTGACTGCTTTACACCATGATAGACGAGGGAGGGATTCTTCCTCTCACTCTTTTCTCTGTTTGTTTCTGTTTCTGTTTTTGTTTTGTTTGAGACTGATTTGTCATCGAGCAATCAGAGCATACAATAAAGTCGTGGCTAAATATTTGTTCCGGAAACAAAGCAGGCAGAACCGGCCAGGATGATGCCTGGGCTTTTCCCACTGATAATATGGGTTTGCTATGAATAGAGCTTGGAGATGGAGCTAATCATCAATGTATCATTACTTTTGTACAACTGCTTTCTCTGGGCTATTATATACTACTGCACTGGCCCTTGCCCTTTCTCTGATGTCACCTTGGAGAACTGTACTGGTGCTTTCTCTATACCAAATGGGGAATCCTCATTAGGTATTCCTTTAACCAATTCAGTTTGTAAACATCAGTCAAAACATCTGTGGTTTGGGCCAATCCAAACCAGTGCAATCCAATCCAATCCAATCCAGTCCAATCCAATCCAGTCCAATCCAATCCAATCCAGTCCAATCCAATCCAGTCCAATCCAATCCAATCCAATCCAATCCAATCCAGTCCAATCCAATCCAATCCAATCCAATCCAATCCAGTCCAATCCAATCCAGTCCAATCCAATCCAGTCCAATCCAATCCAATCCAGTCCAATCCAATCCAGTCCAATCCAATCCAATCCAATCCAATCCAGTCCAATCTAATCCAATCCAATCCAATCCAATCCAGTCCAATCCAATCCAATCCAATCCAATCCAGTCCAGTCCAATCCAATCCAATCCAATCCAATCCAGTCCAATCCAATCCAATCCAACCCAAATTCCATAAGCACTTATCAAGCATCTACTGTGTGCCAGGCACTGTTCTAAGTGCTGAAGATACAAAGTCAGGACAAAAAGTAGTTCTTGCCCTCAAGGACCTTACATCCTACTGGAAGAAGTGAGATTTGCCATACATAAATGGGTAAGTTTATAGATGAGAAGGGAAAAAGCACATACAACAAGTAGGGAGAAAAGAAAAGGATCAAAGCTTTAGAACTGGAAGGGGCCTTAGAAATCATCAAATCAATCTCACTCTACAGATGAGGAAACTGAGGCAGACAGAGATTAAGTAAGTTACTTGGGGTCACAAAACTAGAAAGTATATGAAGTAGGATTTGAACTCAGTTCTTCCTGACCTTAAAACCAGCACTCTATCCATTGAATCATCTAGCTGCCTCTACTGTGAATTTTCCACCCTCAGTGAGACTCAAATCCATGAAGCCTGACTTAGGAGGCCATTGCCTTATCCATTTCCTGTAGGAAGTTGAGGTATTCAGAGCACTGTTAGGGGCTGGTATGTATGTATGGAAGGGAATAGTTCTTGCCTTCCTGCAGTTTAATAGCAGGATAAGACTAGTAGAATAACTAGATAACTAAATTATGTGGTAAATGCATTTGAGACATAATACAGAGGGCTTTGTAGTATCGTGGGTTCATCCCAGGGAGGAAAAATGGGGAAGAGCCTGAAGCTGCCATCCCAACACCCATACCCATAGGTGCTGCCCAGGCCGATTTCCATGGATTCCCCATAAGATAGCTTTCCTAAATGGGGTTGTTTCAGGAAGAATGGTGAGTATCCTCAGGGAACAGGTTGAGCTTTAAAAGATGGGCAAAAATTCAACAGGCAAAATGGGGAAGAGAGAATGCTTTTGCATCTTGTTAAGAGGCCATCACAATCAGCCAGGGAATGGTAATGAGGACCTGTCCTTAAGGTGATGGCTCTCAATATAGATACTGGATGGAACGCCACCCCATAAAGCATTTCCCTTTGAGATGGGAGCATTTCTCCTAAACTCTCTTTTCAGTTCATTTTTCGTTGGCTTATCACCTTTTTTAGCTTGATATTTTCCTGCCTAGAAAAACAGCGAAATTGTATGCATAGCATTTCATTTCCTTGCGTGAATCTTCCCATTAAATAAATACCACCGCATTCTCAAAACATCCAGGGGAGTCTCTAAGGTCAAGTTCGTGAGGCCGTGATTCTGAGAACTGTTCCTTGCCATGTTTCAGGGATTTTTATCTTATATTTTTTTAAATTCTGTTTCAAACAGCACTGACTTTCAGGTAGGCACCAGTGATGTGTTTTTTGATATGACTAACAAAGATGATTTCCATAAATCTTTCTTATGGGCAGCTCCCTGCCTAATGACTCAAAAGAATAATGACTAAAAGCCCTGCTTTCATCTTGTGAAGTAGAGAGGTAGGAAGGATGCAATTGTTGCCCAATTTACCAGAACAGTTTAATTTCTTTACAAAATCCAACTTCTCTCTTTCATTAAGGCAAAGGATCTATCCTCTTTTGTGTCATGGGCCCCTTTGGCACCCCTCTAATGAAGCTTATGGACCCCTTCTTTTATTGAAATACAGTTACCAAAATATTTTTAAAAGGTCATAGACCACAGGTCAAGAATCCTTGCTTTAGGGAATATCTATTTTGATAAAGTAGACTATAACAGAAGCTTGGGGGTCTTTGTGATAGAATGTAATCTCTTTGAGGGCAGGGATGATTTCATTTTTGTCTTTGTGTCCTCAACATCTTGCACAGTGTCTGACACATAGAAGATACTTAACAAATGTTTATTGACTGATTGATTCACAAGCTGAGTTGTTTCCCCCACAGTTATCTCTAATACAATGGAATTCAATAAATATTTTTTAAGTGGAGGCAGCATTGCACAGAGGGCAGAGTGAAGACTGGGTTCAAATCCCACCTTAGACACATTCCTTATATGATCATGGACAAGCCACTTCTTCTCTTTGGGCCTAGTTTTTTTTTTAATCTATAAAATGAAAAGGTTGAACTAGATGAACTCTAATGTCCTTTCTACCTATAATTCTATGACCATTAGGAACAAAGATATGCCAGGCACTAGGATCATTATCATCATCATCACCACCACCATCATTACCATCATCATCACCATCACCATCATCATCATCATCATCTACTTCTCTAGACCTAATATTCTATGATCCTAAAGGCACACGATATGGCAAGCAATGGGATAGCTACTGGGGTCTACAAAAGCAAAAATGAGGCACTCTCCATCCTTAAGGTCCCTCCATGATGTTCACCCATGTCTTCCTGGGATAGTTGGCTGGGTGGGAATGTGTTCAAAAGAGCCAGAAAGTTATATTTGGTGTGGAAAGTCAAGAGACTTGGAATGAAGGATGTTGCTTCTTATGGTTGATCTAAAGGCGTTACACTAAGAAGAAGGATTCCCCAAAGAAGGACTCAGGCTTGGCATCCTAGCTTCCAAGGGCCGTCCTGGTGACAGGTGAGCCTCAGGTGAATTGATCAAACTCACACAGAGCACACTGTCCTGGGTAAACATGGATATTTTCTTTAGTTATTGTATTTCATAGTGTTTTCTGTGCATTGGCCAAAGGATGCTGAGGCAGAGTTCCGTGTTCCTGATCCCAGGATATATGATTGTGTGCCACAGAATAGCAGTTGACTTATGGTTGGCTTCTTCATTTCTGGTTGGAGGCCAAGCTTTTGTCACTGAGCAGCAGGTGGTGAATAGGAACATTTGGAGGCAGGCCACCCTGGGGCAGCAGCTTGACTTAAGAATCAACCACCTATGTCCACAGAGTTTGTACACAAATTCCTACAGCAGGGAGATCATAACTTTTTTGTGTCATGGGCTCCTCTGGCAAAAGCTGCCAACCCCTTCTCAGGATAATATTTTTAAATGCTAAAAATAAAATACCTAGGATTATAAACCAATTATATTGAAATAAAGATATCAAAATATTTTTAAAAATTTATGGACCCCAAGTTAAGCACCACTGCCTAGAGAGATAGTGTCAGTTTAATTGAATATAAGCCTCTTGAGGGCAAGGACTGTTTCATTTTGGTTTTGCGTCTCCTAGCGCCTAGCACAGCACCTTGCATATAGGATGTGCTTAAGAAATAAATGCTTGTTGAATGGAGTAAAATAGAATTTGTTAGGTCAATGTCAGGGTCCCCTGTCCTCTGAGTTGCCACTAGGGTAGCACTGATTTGACGAAAGAGAGAGAAGAGGGAATGCCTTAAAATGAGTACCTCTTACAGGTACTCAGTGACCTGTCACTGGCTTTGTGACATATTCATCACTGCCATTCTTTGTGCTCCAGACCTCAGGCAGATGCCCAAGATGGCCCAGCACCAAAAAGAATTATGTTGGGCAGCTAGGTGGCACAGTGGATAGAGTACCAGCCCTGAAGTCAAGAGGACCTGAGTTCAAATCTGGCCTCAGACCAAACACTTGACACTTACTAGCTGTGTGACCCTGGGCAAGTCACTTAACCCCAATTGCCTAAAATATATATCTGTATCTATATAAATATACATGTAGATATATTTCTATAGCCCCTTTTGAGACTGGAACTATGATTTCATTGGTGTAGAGAACTCCTGGGTAAGAAAACTTCCTGTAGCAATGCAGATAGATACCTATTCTACACCGATAGTTTTTGTTGTTCAGGAGCATTGAGAGGTTAAGAGACTAGTGTCACATTCATTGGTTTAGTAAGTATCAGAGGTGAGACTTGAACCCAGAATCAAGGAATCACAGAATCTGAGAGTTGGAAGGGTCCTAAGGAGCTATCTAGCTCCAACCTATACACAAAAGGCATCCCTAATATAATCTAGATCTTCCAGACTGAGACCAACTCTCTAGTCATTATATCATGTTCGCCTCTCATATATATCCACTCATCCAAACCCTTTAAGGTTTACAGAGTGCAGTCATCAAAATCTTGTAAAGTAGGCAGTTTAAAGACGATTATTCTCATTTTACAAATGAGGAAGCTAAGTCTCAGAAATGATGTGACATGATCATCCCGGCTGTTTAGCTTGTGAGGGTCAGAGCCAAGACTAAAGCCCACGCCATCAAGATCAATTCTCTTTGCAAGACAGCAAGTGGCTAAAGATTCCCCTGGAAGACACACACATATAATGAGTGGTACACAAATTGGAGACTTAGAGAGAAGAAGGCTCAGGAACACCTGAATGCAGCAGCCAGGCTGCTCTGTCACAACAAAGTCCTCCCCTTTCTCTCATCCTCCAAAACTTGTACAAAATCAAAATCATGAAAGCTAGTCTCAAACACTATCACTGAATGTCCTGCTAGCCTTCGCTCTTATGTACTGGTGTAGGTCATCAGAACATGAGAGAGAAGCTGCTGCAACCAGGGTAGTTGAATGAAGTTGCTACCCCCCCCCCCCCCCCCCCGCCCCGTGCTTTGTTGTGCTAACACAAAATGATTAGAGCATCATACTTACAAATCTGAGGTGACAAATTCAATCTTCATTTTGGCAACTTTGGTTCATTCATTTCTACAGTTCATTAACCCACTGTCTTGCCATACTAAAAATGCATAATTAACAATAACTAGCATTTATATAGTGCTTTAAGGTTTGCAAAATGCCATAATAATAACAATAATTAACATTTATATAGTGCTAATTATGTGCAAGGCACAATGCTAAACACCTTGCAATTATTATCTCATTTTATCCTCATAAAAACCCTGGGAGGTAGATGCTATTATTATCTTTATTTTACAGATGAGGAAACCGATGCAACAAAGGTTATGTAATTTGCCCAGGGTCATACAACTGGTAAATATATGAGGTTGGATTTGAACTCAGGTCTTTCTGACTCCAGGCCCACTATTCTGTCCTCTGTTCTACCTGGCTTTACAGATTTTAACTGATTTGATCCTTAAAACAGCCCTGGGAGATAGGTGCTATTATTATCTCCATTTTACAGATAGGGAAACTGAGGCTACTAGAAGTTAAGTGAGTTGCTCAGGTTCACACAGCTAGTATGTGTCAGAGGCAGGATTCAAACTCAGATCGTCCTGACTCCAAGTTCTGCACTATATACACCAAATAACTTCTATATAAGAAAGTGACCCCGAGAGGGTTCGTGAATGAGTTATACCATAGTCGTTACCACTGATGAAGAAACAACCCATGGTTCATTAATAATCATGTTATTAATGGAGGCTCAGTCTTGTAGTTTTATATTTGTGTTTAAGGAGTATTTTTCTTCTGTTTCTACTAGGAAAATGTCACATAACAAATACAAACTGAATAGTAATAGCTTTGCCAGAAGACTGGCTTACTTAGAGAATTGTTTCAACCCATGCCAAGGGATGCCATTGACAGAGGGTTGAATCTGACTAAACCTAGCCTTGCTATGCAGTGTGACAATCCAGTCCTTAAGGTCTTGAGCCAATGTGGCCTCAAGAGTCGTCCTTGGCCCTTCTCGTCTTCTCTCTGGTTTTCAGAGGTTTGTACACAGCTGCCTCCTTTGTATCTCTGACTTAAATTGATCTCGATTCTTGTACAAACCAGGCTAGTCTCATACTACTCTCCATCATGTACTCTGCATTCTAACCACACTGGGCTACTTCCTACCCTCTCTTCTTTCCCAGTCCTTTCTCACTTTGCTGCCACCACTTCCTGGGCTTAGAATGTGCCTCTACCTTGCTGAAATTATTCTCTTCCTACAAAACCCACCTCAACTTCCACTTTAACCAGAAAAGCTGTCCCTGATGATTGATCCCTGCAACTAAATAGGGGTTCCTTCCACTATGACACATTAGCTCCTTCTCTGAAATTTATAATCTTGGAGAGTTGCCTAGGGAACTGAAGATCTGCCCATGGACACCAAGCCAAAGTCAGAGAAAGGATTTGATCCTAGGCCTTCTTTCTTCCAAGGCCAGGTTTTTATCTACTAAACCAAACAAACTTTCTCTACCCAAGTGAACTTGGGCAAATCACATAACTCTTCTGAGGCTCAGTTTCATCATTGGACTGGATGGTTTCTGAAGTCCCTTGTAGCTCTGGATCTATCATCCTGTGACCCCAAATTTTGCCCCTCCATGTGCTGTAGGACTCTTACGAACCCCCATCTTTTTTGCCAGAGAATAGATCATAAGCCTTCTGAAGACATGGTGTGATTTCATCTTGCATCCCCACCACCTGGCACAGCGCCTAGCATTTAAAAAAGCTGAGTGAATGAATGATCCCAAGCCCCAAGGGTACTTGTTTTGATTCCTCTTTTATCATCATCATCTTACAAGATCACGTCCAAGCTTGGCTTACCTTGGCTTCCCATGCTTCATAAAGCTGCTGTAATGTTCTTCCTAAGACACTCTGGGTCATATTGACTAGACTCTCACTCCTCTGCCACCTTCTAGTGGTAGCATCCAGGTACATGTACTCTAAACCACTCCATTCACTCTTCTGTTTTCTATTCTGGGGTAACTTGTAAAAAACAAACCTGCAAAAGGAAAGGATCCGAGGTTCAACTCAGATGCTCCCTCCTCTGTAGCCCTGCCTTCTCACACTTGAAAATATTCTATCACTCTCAAATTTTTCTTAGAGTTCTTTGTCTGACTCTTTTATTGGTGGAAGAGGCAGGATGGAATAATGGATAGAGTATTGGACTGGGAGTCAAGAGAACTTGGGTTCAAATACAGCTATAAATACCAACTGTATGACTCTGGGCAATTAACTTAACCTCCCTCAGACTCAGTCTCCTCTTCTGCAAAATGGAGGGGAATAATAACACCTACTTCACAGGGTTGTTTTGAGGGTCAACCTAGATACTTCATGTAAGTTTTCAGTCGTGTCCAACTCTTTGTGACTCCTTTTTGGGGTTTTCTTGGCAAAGAGACTGGAGTGGTTTGACACTTCCTTCTCATTTTACAGAAATGGAAACTGTGGCAAACAGGGTTAAGTGACTTGCGCAGGGTCACACAACTAGTAAGTTTCTGAGACAAGATTTGAACTCAGGAAGATGAGTCTTCCTGATTCCAGGCCTGGCATTCTATCCACTATATCATCTTCCATAAACCTTAAAAGTTATATGTGTTAGATATTATTACAATTACCATATATCATACTTAACTGTGTATATATCAATCAGTCCATCGATAAGCATTTATCAAGCACCTACTATGTGCCGGGCCCTATGTTAAGTACTTTACAAGTATTTTTTTCATTTGACCCTCACAGCAACCCTGGGTGGTAGGTGCTATTATTATTTCCATTTGATAGTTGAGGAAATTGAGGCAAAGATATTAAGTGATTTGTACATGCTTACCTAGCTAGGCTCACCTAGCCAGATTTGAACTCAGGTCTTCCTGACTCCAGGCCCAGCACTCTATCTACATCATTCTATTAAACAGGTGAACAAAATACCTGGAGGTGTGCTAGAGCCTGCCCTGCTCAGCAAGAGCTGATTGTTAAATTTTTAGTGTAAGCATATATACCTTGGAAATCAGCAAACACTATGAGCAGGGATTGATTTATTTATTGACTGCTTTAACTTTAGAAAGTGATAGAGAAATGTTAATAATTCATATTAAAATTTAAAAAAATTGAATGTGTTTTCAGGGAGCCAGTTGCTAAACATTTACCAGCATAGCCCTCAAAATATCTGATTTTTGTCATTGAATAAAAGTATGAGGAGATAAGCTTGGGCAGTGAGGTGGTGCCATAGTGCATAGAGCATTGGGCTTTGAATCAGGGAGACTCAATTTAAATTCAGCCTCAGACACTTATTAGCTCTGTGACCCTGGGCAAGTCACTTAGCCCTGTTTGCCTCAGTTGCTGATCTGCAAAATGATCTGGAGAAGGAAATGCAAACCACTCCAGTATCTTTGCCAAGAAAACCCCAAATGTGGTCACAAAAAGTCAGATGTTACTGAAATGAATGAACGACTTAAGCTCATCTTACCTCTTCCAGTAGCAGACAAGTCCACAAGATAGACAAGCAGCTCATCCTATTTAGACATGATTTTGATCTCCTTTTCTAGGTCTGTATATTTTGAAAGCTTTTCACTACATGTAGTTTAGATGTCATCACTGTTGGTTGTAGAGACATCCATTAAGAATATTCTCAACTTTTTATGGGTCAATGTCATGCCCATGATTGTGAGCAACAGTTTGGCCTATAATGGTGCTCCCATTTGGTGCACCTAGTGGAATTTATTTGTTGAGTTCACTAGGATATGATAATAGCTAATATTTATGAAATGCTTTAAGGTTTGCAAAGCACTGTATATGTACTGTTTTATTGGATTGTAATTGGCTAGTGTTTGACTGTAAATGACAAATGGAGCATCAGTTATTTAAAGGCTTCTGACCAAAGGGACAGAAATAAGCAATGTTCTTTCTAGATGCTAAGGTCTCTTCTAGTAGAGGGGAGAGCAGGCCCCTCAGGGCTTCTTTTTAATTAGCCTCATCAAAAGATATAAAATATGATGGCTTCCCCACCTTATGCCTACAATCTATCCTTACTCTCCTCCACACCCATATTACCAAATTCTGTCACTCCCTACTCTCTCACATAGGCAATAATGTTCTTTTTTTTTGCCCCAGGTCCCAATCCCTAACTCTTTGTAGTATCTACCTCTACCCCCCTCCCTCAGCCATTTTAAGGTTAACTTGAGTGTATGATATTATCCAGGAGTCCAGCAGGACTTCTCTGTGTCTCCTAGGTACTGCTGTTTTCCCTTACCAAGTTTCAGCTGCAGAATGTGCACAGCAAGGAGGGCCAGAAGGAAGACGCTGTCTCCACACCCTCCTTCCTTACCACAACAGCTGTACCTTATGAGGGCTGATGGCCTGAGTATGCTGAAGAATGATAGCAGCAAGTCTTTACAAGGGTCAACACTTTGGCATTCAACTTTTTAAAAATTAAATTAAGTGTTATTTATTTTTCAGTTAAAAAGCATTTATTTTTTCTCCCTGCTACCTCTCCCCTCCCTGAAAAAAAAAAGACAATCAAACCTTTCTAACAAATGCACCTCATTAAGCATTCCCAGATTGACCGTGTCCCAAAATACATCTTATTCTGCATATTGAGTCTATCACCCCTCTGTCAGGAAGTGGGCAATATTCTTCATTACTGGCCATCTCAAATCAATAATGGAACACAACTGGAAAGATTGTGTTTCCCTACCTCATAAACTTATCTCCTCCTTCCTGGAGGCAGGGAGGACTATGGGACCTAAGAGAAACAGACTTCTGGCCTAATTCCAATGTCACTGTGCCTGCATGTTGAGTTCCTTAGCAATTGAGAAAACTCACTTCATGGATCTAACATCAAGGGTGTTTGACCCAGGCAGTTAGGTGGTAAAGTTAGTAGAGCATTGGCCCTGGAGTCAGGAGGACCTGAGTTCAAATTTGGTCTCAGACACACAATACTTACTAGCTCTGTGACCCTAGGCAAGTCATTGAACCCTGATTGCCTCACCAAAAAAAAAAAAGTTTGACTTGGGTTCCATGATTTTTTTAAAAAATTTTGAGAACTATTGAGTATAATTGGTTTCCTTTGTAATCCTACGAATTTTATTTTATGCATTGAAAAACATTATTTTGAGAAGTACTCTGTAGGCTTCTCCAGTCTTCCAAAGGGATCTATGACACACAAAAGCTAAAAACCCTTACTGGAGGTAAATGTCTGCCTCCCTATACCCTGCAAATTTGCTCAGAGTAGCCCAGGTATACCCAAATGCTCAAAGATATTCCAACTACTTCAAGGTCTGTCAGCAAGCCCTGATTCCTACGCCCGAAAAATGGAGCTTCCTAAAGACCCCGTGCGTACAAAGGGAGGAAGGATTGCTTTTCATTTTGGAAAGAATTTCTGAAACTCTCCCCACCCCCAACGTCTTCTCCCCTCAAAATAGAGCTTGTCCAAGGTAAACAGTTCAGTGGAAAGAACACCAGACTGGAGTCAGAACACTTGTTCCAAAAGTCAAATCATGCCTCTGTTACTTATGATCTGTGCAACTGTGGGCAAATCAAACCTCTCTGGGGTTCAGGTTCCTCAAATGTAACATGCATAGGCTGGACTTGGTGATATCTAAGTTTCTTTCCTGCTCTAAAGCCATGATGTTGTGAGCAATAATCTAGGGAGCTGAGAATCTGATAACTCGCCGTGTTTTACTGGAATTGGGACCAACTGGTAGGTATTGAGATCAGAGCAGCTGGACACTGGAGAAAGAAGAGAAGGAGAAGTGAAGTTTTTGCCCCCCAACTTTGATGCCTGTTAATTCTATTGCTCTATTAAATTATACCCTTCTGTAGGCACGTATGTTGCCTAAGCAGACCTTCCCCTAGAAAGAATCTGAAAGCAGGTTTCTGCCCTATCAGAATCTCTCTTAGCCCATGGACATCTCATTCTTGGATGTTTGTCTATTGTGCATTTAACCAAGGGCAAGACAGGAAAATTTGACATCTTTGCATTGGAATTTTTTTTTCACTTTTTTTTCACATTCACTTTTGCCCGTGGGAATGAAAAAGGTGAATTTTAAATTAGTGCCACTTCACATAAATCAAATGACTGGGCCAAGAGTCAAGATCATGGATATAGAGCTGAAGGTTCTTTAGGGATCTTCTAGTCCAGGGATTCTAAACGTTTTTGTTTGTTTCCTGGATCCTTTCGGGCAGTCTGATGAAGCCTAGGGACTCCTCAGAATCGTGGTTTTAAATGTATAGAATAATATACATAGAATGACAAAGGAAACCTATCATATTGGAAGAGTTATCAAACTATTAAAAAAATTTTTAAAAAAGCTTCATGGACACCAGATTAAGAATCCTTGTTTTAGTACTCTAGTAGCTAATGCATGGAGTGTCTGGTACATTGTTGATACTTAATTAATGACTTTTTAATAATAATAATAATAATAGCTAATATTTAAATAAGGTTTGCAAGGTGCTTTACATACATTATTTTATATAATTATCTGGGTTCAAATATTACTTTGTATACATTCCCCCTTTAACCTTGGGTAAATAATAATAATCTTTCTTGGCCTTAACTCTTCATCTGTAAAAAAATAAAAGGATTAGCCTCGATGTTTTCTAAGGTCCCTTTCAACTCTCAATCTATTATCCTTTGAACCATCAGCCTGTTTACTCTCAATTAGAAAGTGTCAAAGAGTGATCAGAGCTTTCTGAGAATCTGTGGTGATTTCGCAATCTGAACTAAGCAATGCTATAATATCCTATCACCTTGGAACTTCATCTGGTCAATGACACGTCATTCAGCTTCAGTGGCTGCTCTTATAGACCAAGGTTATTCAAATAGTGCACTACTGAGTGGGTCACAATGTTGATTTTTCCCATTCTTCTTGGGAAAAGCCATTTTCCATACTGAGAGGAAAACTGCCTTTCTCTATCTTCCTCAGATTTCTTGAATGGGAGCCTGGAAGCCCCCTGGTGAGGAAACAAGGAAAAATCTTAATACACCTATCTGGGCATCTCATTACATTTCTCAGCCACCTATGAGAGGTTTAGACCAAGATCATAAATTGCAGAGTTGGTCCTACATGAGATTCTTTGTGACAAGGGGAAGCAATTCTCTCCTATCCCCATCCATTCCTGTTCAGTGTAAAAAAAAAATCAATGCAGGTGAACCCTTTGTCCTTTGGAGGGTAGGGTGGAGGATGGAAGAAAGAGGAGAGAATGGATCCCAAGAATTCCACAGTCAATCCTTTCATCTGCCTGTCAGCCCAGTGCATTTTATTTGCAAAAGCCAGTCTATGAATTTTCTTTACCTACCAATCTACAGCGTCACCATCTTCATTTCTGCAAGAAATTCGAGCTGCCCCCAGGGGAACGCAGGAGCTCAGAAAGAGCACAGTGAGGCCCACGCTTAATAATCTCGCTGTCATTTTCTGTCTGCCTCCTCTAGGAAATGCCAGAAAGGACATCTTTTAAAAAAGATGACTGGGTGTCTAAAATGTATTTCTTCCGAGACACGTCAACTCCACTTTTTGATTCAGTTTCGTCATGCAGACCAGGATCCCTGCCCTTTCAGAATGGGCTGGATTTGGGAGAATTATGTGCTTCCACCACAAGTGCAGTCAAAGTGACTTAGGATGTGATTTTCCTGGGTTGTTTGCCTGCCTTGAAAAGTCATCAAAAAGCTTTGATAACAGGGGAAATATAGTTAACCCTTGAGGGCAAATTTTCTGCAGTGTGGAGGATCAGAAAGAACCTTTCAAGCCAAGAAATATATATTGAGTCAGTATTCCTTTCCTGGTTCTTCCCCCACCCTCCCATCCCCAACCTGGTCTGAACCCGTTTTTTATGAGGGACATAATGTACATTCATAGGTACACAGATGCCTCACCAGATGTCAAATGATAATTTCAAGGGGTTGGGGAATGAGATTTGTGATTTCATTGGCGTAGAAAACTTCTTAATGAGAAAACTCCCTTACCCATGCAATCAGCAAATTTTCTGAAACTTATTTTCTGACAAAAGAGTATAAGACCTTGAGAGGTAAAGTGTTTTGTCTGAGGTATGAGTTAAAGGCAAGACTTGAATCTTGTTCTTTCTGATTCTACGGGCAGCTTTCCACATGCTATGTGATACCACCTTTCAGAAGTAGTAGTAAAGGCAATTTAATAATGAATCCAGTCTTGTGTAAGGAAGACCACCTGTCTTTCTCCCTTTTGGAAGTAAATGGTCATTTATTTGAGGTAACTGCTGCTTTGACAGTAAAGGAAGGGGTTAAAAATCAAAGGAAGACCACATTAAACTGTGGCTCATGGCAGTATTGACATGTCTTCTCCACCTCCCAGAGTTAACCATTCAAAGTACAGCTTTGGCTTACAAAGCTCCAGATAACCAATCACCTATGATAGGGAACAAGTAAACAACGCTGACCTTCTATCCTTCCATGCAAATAAAAAAAAAATAAACCCTCACCAATAGGTGTTTTGTCCAAAGTATTCATTCTTCTCACTCCTGAAACAGAATCTGAAGACTAAGTGAAAATGTCCCATCACTATGAGTATGAAAAGGTGAGAATTACCTTATTGGAGGGGGTGAGGGGAAAGAAAAAGTGGAAAGACATAGAAACCATTGCCTTAAATGTATTGATTTGAAAGAGTGATTTTCTACCAGAAGTCCAGGTGTAGAGGAAAAAAAATGTAGGGAATAGTAAAGTCTCATGGTCTCACATCCCATTCAGGAGTTGGATCTGCTTTTGAGCCAGTATTGGGGATGTCGGTTGAGATTAGAACCACTTTGAGGATAAGGAATCATTCTTGAGTCTAGACCAAAGAGGACTGTCGGAATCAATCTTTAAGTGAATCTGCGTTGGCACTGAGGGTGCAAGGAGCTGCCTTAGCTTTACCTAGGATTCTTTAGGACAAGGTATGATCTCAATCCTGGTTCCCTTTGAAGGCTGCTGCAAAAGATAAATTAAGATCTACCTTAGGCAAACATCTTTGGGTTTGGCACAAACTAGACCCTGCAAACAATAGCCAGCATTTTCTTTCCCTGTTGCATCATTTTCCAAACCCATGGGCCCCAATAGTTTTCCCTACAAGTCTCATAGATATAGGTCTTATATGGTTTGGGCACATTCCAAAATTTCAGTGATTGTTAACCTTTTTGAAACTGTGATCCTTTATGTTTAATTTCATTTCATGATGCCCCTTGGTCTTTTTAAAGGAGCTACATTATTGATGTTTATTTTTTTTTAATTAAAGTTAATTAAATGCTATTTTGGTTTGAAAACTTTTTGAGCATTTATTGATGCCTCCTGAAGTCACCAAAAATTGCTGTTTTTAGTATTTTTAGTGAATGTGACTATCACATTCTCTGGGACCCAGAATACTTATCTGCTTATTTTGGTGAGGTATTAAGCTGATTCTAATTCTTTATTCTTATTCTTTATATATCTTCCAATCCTAGGATATGTAACATCTATATTAGAGTGACTTTTTTGTTCCTTTTTTATACCTAGTTACTATCTCAAGGATTGCCAAAATGTTAGGGTTGGGTCAAGTGCCAAATGGAGGAACTTTGGGGGCCAGAGCAATTTATGAAATAATCAACTCCATTCAATCCAATTTAAGACAGAATCTTGGCGGGGGGGAGACATTCACATTTAGGGAGCAGAGCAATGATGATGCTCCAGCAAAGGAGATTGTGAAGAAACAGTTGGACAAGCAGGAGTGAACAAAAGCCAAGGGAGAAGGGATTATCCAAGAAGAAGGGGATCAAGGATGTCATCTGCTTCAGTGAGGTGAAGAAGAGTAAGAATTTGGAAGAGACCATCAGTTTTAGCATTGGAAAGATTATTGGTAATCCTGAAAAACAGTTTCAGTTGAGTGGTGAGATTGCAAGCCAAATTACAAAGGATTGAGAAGTGAGTAACTAAAGCCTAGAGGGCTTGTGGGCTATATCGTTGATGTTATACCCATACTTTTGAAATCATGGATCTTTGGAGCATTGAAATGTGAAGTATTTCCATGAAATCCATGTCTCTTGCTGTGGCTGACTACTAGATCAAGGACTTCACCTGCCATCTGGTCAACCCCATATCTGATCAGGATTCCTTCTACCATATCATTGGCAAGCAGTCATTCAGCCTCACCTCTCCTCTCCTCTCTTCTCTTTCCATGCCTCTCTTTTTCTTTCCTCTTCTCTCTCTACATGGAGTATCATGCCCTTACTTGAGGGTGCTCTGCCCAAAGCAAGGTAAATTTTGGTGGCTGAAACTTATTATGGTATCTTGGGGTTTACTGGCTACATTTCTTTCTTAAAGACCATGCCTTAAACCCAGTTCACTCTGGCTGTCATTGATAGGTCCCAACCACCACTTAATGGTTATTTTTTGAGCCCTGATGGCTCAGAGTGAATGTAAATAGTAATTGTTTCTCTTTTGGCCAGCAATCCTAGGGTCTTCCCCTCCCATTTGACTTTTTTTTTAATTTTAAATTAAAGTGAGGGCAAACTAGGAGAAGGGGTACGCAGAATGCATGCCATCTTGGGGTGGGGGGAGGGGTGAGATGAGGAGAAAAATTGTAACTCAAAATCTCGTGGAAGTGAATGTTGAAAACTAAAAATAAATTAATTAAAAAAATAAATTTTAGATTAAAGGAGCCATCCCTTGGCTCATTCTTAAAGAGCCCTAATCAATGAATGGGCATTGCTTCAAAGTGAGAACTCAGAAACACCTTAGCTTAAAAAGCCCAAAGAGGGCAGCTGAGTGGTGCAGTGGATAGAGCACTGGCCCTGGATTCAGGAGGACCCGAGTTCAAATCTGGCCTCAGACACATAACACTTACTTGCTGTGTGACCCTGGACAAGTCACTTAACCCCATTGCCTAACCAAAAGGAAAAAAAAAGGCCAAGGTCTTCTACCGTATCCTGGGCTTTTCCCAGTCATCCTGCTGATCTGTATCTTGCCATTGGACCCAAACGGCTCTGGAGGGGAGAGTGAGGCTGGTGACTTTGCACAGCCCTTCCTCCCTTAAATCCAATTCACTTGAAAGTCATGGCATCATCTTTCTGATGTCATGGTCCTCTTTGAGAACGCAGGGCAAGCCACAACCTAAAGAGTGTGATACAGAATCCATGCTCCCCAAAGCAGCCATTTTGACTGATTGATTATTGGGAATTTTCCTTTCCGTTCAACCCAAATGTGACTCTCTACAACTTTCATTAATTCCTTCTGCTTCTGCCCTCTGTGGTCAAGCAGAATTTAATCAGTCAGTCAACAACAATAGTGAAGCAACTACAGTGTTTCGATGGCAGGGTGGAAGAGGGATTTAGCAATTAAAGAAATCGAACATGAATTCGAATTCACCTGAGATTTTACTGTTAACAACAGAATATATTGAAGGTGAGCAGAGGTTTCATAAGTGAATTTTAAATGTTTGGGTTCCATATGGAATGGTTAAAACAAGTTCATGTGATAGGAATTTTCCCTCCCCCTTTCAATTCTGCATTTCTTTTGAAGCCTGGGAAACATGCTACTTTGGCAAAATATTATGTCTCCTGACCAACTCGATTTGTTCCAGAAAAATGAGCAATGTGTTCATGGGACCTTGCTTAGCTATCGTGAACTAGGAAAAGTTTTTATGCAACAAGAAGAAACCCAGAGCATATGGCTTCCAGTCAACCAATACTTTGCTCACACTACTATACTATCATGATTTTGTAGATTTTGATCTAGAAGTATAGCAGTCATTCTGTTGATCAAATCCTGCTACTGTATGGTCCCACTGACGTTGCCTTCTTTTCATGTTGCTTCATTTCGTCTACTTTCATTTAAGGTCATAATTTAAACACATAGTTTAGTTAAATTAGTAAACGTATAGTCAAAGAAGAGGTATTAATTGCATGTAATACAGACTACACATTCCATTCAGTTCCAAGATCCAGCCCCTCCTAAGGCACTAACCCCTTTAGGGTGGAGTCTGTTTCTTTGTTCACACTTTTCTCTGTCCCTGCAAGTTCATCACTGAAACAAGAAGCTCTCAAATATCCCAGAGACTAACTCTTATCCATATAATGCCACTTGACAATCATAAATTCTAGCATCAGTAGTGACAAGGGGTAGCAACATGCTTCAGTGTAAATGCCACTGTGTCTCTCTCACACATATGAAATCAGCTCTCTTGTTCTTCTATCTATATCAACCTAAGAAGACAAAAGAGGAAATGGAGCCACTCAAAAAGGATGTCAGAGACCTAGCTAAAGGGTTGGAATGCCCTCGTTACATTTATCTTGGGAAACTCTTGGGTTTTCTAGCTTGTTTGAAGATCTGCATCTGTTCCTTTCATTTCTTCAAGAGTAGTTTTAGTAGTTTGGATTGAATTTGTGGGGCGTGTTTTTATTTTGTTCCCAGAAACTCTAGGACAGCGTTGCTCTGTTTAGGGTCTGAGGACTTCACTTCTGTTGATATAAGGGATATAAAAGACCAAAAGATACAAGTATACTGATTGACAAGTAAAAGGAAGGTTGTAATAGGCCAAAGAAAAGAGTGGCTAAAGTTGGCAAGGAGTATGAAAAATAGGGGAAGGGGAAAACATCAGGGTGATAAATGAAAGAAGATCCTGCA